GCTCTAGCATCGGCCGTCTTCTTTTGGGAATAAAATCTTCCCAAGAATGCTGTCGTGACATCATCCCAAGTGTGTAGAGAGTTCAGCTTCACCTCCTTCTCTAACCATTCGAGAGCTCTCCCAATAAGTGAAAAGGGGAAAAGCTTCAATCTCACGAACTCTTGATTCACCCCATTAACCTTGATGGTATTGCAGTACTTCTCAAATTCGTTCAAATGAGACAAAGGGCTCTCATGCTTGGCACCACTAAACTGCCTTCTCTCGATGAGGGTGATCATAGCCGGCCGGATCTCGAAATCATTGGCCTCAGTAGTGGGTGGAGCAATCCCACTTGAAGCTCTATACGCCCCAGGAGTTCCCAACTCCTTAAGGGGTCGTGGTGCTGGCCGATTGGGTTGGCGCGGTATGTCTGCCATTGGAACCTGTTGTGTGTTGTGTTCCTTTCCTTGAGAGTTTGATGACGTCAATCGAGATTTACGATTGCTCTTCAAAGTTCTTTCGATTTCTGGATCGAAGGGTATTAATTCTCTCTGTTTAGACCTGCGCATACACACTAACCAAACCAATTAAATAGCAGGGCTACAAGTGTAGCCAAAAGGGAAAAATCTTTTTGTGCTTTTTTTATGATGAACTAGACTCAAGAAATCAAAAAGCAATTAACAAACACCGTTCCCCGGCAACGGCGCCATTTTGACAAGGGTTAAATCGGTCGCTACAATCTAACTCTCAATCAAACAATACTTATGCGAACACCCTATAACCAAGTACAATGGCAAATAAAGGTTCGGTCCACGAGGAACGAGAGTAATTGCAAATCAATCTTAAACCTAAGCTAGTTCGAAATCAATGGAAAATGGTGTTCTAAAATAATACTAATAAGATGGAATAAATCAATAAACTAAGACACTAGGGAGAACGGGAATTCACCAAACCATCGGTAACTACGCAACAAGGAATCACAGAGACAAACGGGATATGCAAAGACTATATGTCTGATCACTATCATGTGATAGGAAGACAACGGGCAATACTAAGCTTGGATTTCTCATGCACTTAACATTACTCGATACATAATCAAACCACATTCAATAATGAAATATTCAATTCACAATCTCTTGTTCAAATCAAGGATATCATGCAATCAAATTCAAGATTCTAGGTTAGCTACTCCTATTATAATGAATTAACATGCAATCGCATATAATCAATTTAATCACAATCCGTTTATCAAAATTAATCCTCAATTACATAGATTACCTAGGCCGGGTTTCATCCCGAAACCCTAGCTAGGAGACTACTCACACATATTCATAATCAAAGCAATAATGAATTCCAAAAGCATAATAGATATAAACATGAATTCTGATTAAGGAATAATAAAGCTTGATTAATAAACAAGAATGAATAATACCAATTGTATTGATGCAAATCAATGGAAAAGTTCAGAACTTTGATATCCGTCGTCAATGAATAATACAAAGAACCTTCGCAAATCTTGCTTCAAATCAATCCAAGAAAACTAAAATCTCTAGGAAATTCTCTAAGAAAACTAATGAATCTCTAATACTAAGAACGTTCTCCAATAACTCTCTACAAAGGCTCTCAAAACTATCTCTAAAACTGTCTTTGAATCCTCTTAAAGTCGGGCCTTATATACGTCTTCTAATTCGGAGAAGTCAAGCGCGCAGTTAACCCTGGATCAGCACGGCCGTGCTGTATTTGGCACGGCCGTGCCAGCTTTTCAGTAAGTAAACCGGGTTTCTTCTTCAAATTGGCACGGCCGTGCAGCTTCCTGGCACGGCCGTGCTAAAAATGACACGGCCGTGCTGAATATGCTCTAGCACGGGGCTCATACTGAAGCTGACACGGGCACGGGCAACATCTGGCACGGCCGTGCTAATGGATTGCACGGCCGTGCGGGTGCGTGGATACTGACACGGCCGTGCTATTGGCTTGCACGGCCGTGCTGCCTTGCCTGGGGTTGCTTGCTTATAGGCCAGCACGGGTGTGCCTATGGTAACACGGCCGTGCTGCCTGTGCTATGTAATCAATGCACGGCACTTGAACTTCCTTAACTCCTCGGACTCCGATCAAGGCTAGCTCGGTTACGCATCAAGGGCTCGGGATCCGATTAAACTCGGTTGATATTACCTGAAAACACATCAAAAACAAACCGAAAACCCGTGAAGCACGTAATATGGGGAACGTAAGCATAACAAGGTAATAATCGGCCAAAGAGGCCCCAAATACATCCAAAATCATCCTAAAATATGCTCTAAAGCGCGCCCTAAAGTGCGCTTGTCAACCGTTAGCGGTTTTAAGTTGAACTGAAAACCAATCCTACGTGGACACTAATTTGGGAATTTGTTTTTAAAACGAAGCATCAATGGTTGGTTCGTACACACGGGTGTATCATGTGCATGGTACACCTGGATTAAAACAGAAAGAACATAGCTTATAAATGTAAAGAACATTATTAAATTATAAAAGAACACATCATTGAAATATAAAGAACATGGTAAGTATGAGAAACTAATTTTAAAAAAATGTAATAGATAGTTACTAATTGATTTTTACCACGCATTCTATGTTAAATCATTTCAAAATATTGAGTTTTTCAGAATTTCTTTATCTAAGATTATATTCTACCAAAAATAATTCAAGATTTCATTTTCAAATTTCAAAAATTCAAAATTTAAAATTTAAAACTTCATTTTCAATGTACTTTATTTCAAATTTTTTTAAAAAAATATATACAAAAATTAATCATATTTTTCACCGTACCAAAAAAAACATAAAGGATAAAACAAGAGAGCACAATGATAAAAAAAACACATAATACCCGAAATAATACGAGGTTTAAAGCAAATGCATATTAAGAAGAACATACTATCTAAGTTAAAGAACATTATTTGTATTAATGAAACCCAGCAAGAACATTTTTAATCTACATAAATTAAAGTACAATGTTTATAATGTAAAGAACATATAGTTCATATAAAAAGATCATATTGATCAGATTCAATGAACATATTACATTTCAATAATAAAAGAATATGTATCAAGAAATGATAAAAGAACATTTATCATAATACAAAGAACATCATCTTCAACCTCAGAAAATAGCACGAAAACAGTGTTTTTTTTTTTAAAAAAAAAAAAAAAACCTTTTCTCTCATCAATGAATTAATCAATTACATCATTAAGAGATTATATTGGAACGATAAAATCAACTCTATTATAACATTGAATCACTTAGAATTCTCTATATAAATTCAATTTCTCTCTCTTAACAAAATAAATGAACTTCTATTCATCAAAAGTATTCTATTAATATACAAAATATAAATAATAAATCAATTCATGAATCAAGGAATATAAATAACAAATCAATACCTTAAATCAAAGAGGGAATCATTTTGATATATATATATTTTTTTTACTCATGTACTTTAATTTGTATGCAATGTTCTTTCTGCGATTTTTAATAACCTTGTATTATAACCGAGTGTACCATGCTCATGGTACACCTGGGTGTATGGTGAATGGGAATTCATTTCTATTTCAACAATATTAAGGAAAATCGTTCCGAAAGGTGTGTTAATTTTGATATTTATTAAATCATGTATCATACATCTTTAAAAAAAAATCATCAAACAAAATTAATTTTCTATATACATAAAGATAATTCAACTACTGTGTATATTAAATGAAAAATTCGAGCATGGCTCGGGCATTAACTAGTAACTATATACTAACAGACACACTAGCAATGACACGTGTCATCTCCTGGTGTGTCCTTAGTTTTTTTTTTTTTTTGAAAAAAATTCAATTTCAAAAATAAATCTTTTTACATATATTTATAAGGTAATAATTACATACAAAGTATAATTGAAGATTTGATGCATCTTTCTAAAATAAATATATTGACAACTATAAACTTAAGCAAAAAATATGGAAAATAATATTCTTAATATCATTTGTTATGGACAATTTTTTTTAAGAAAGATATAAATTATGTACAGCATACGTTTATTACAACAAGATTATATAATTTTTTTCTTGATTTTTTTAATTATGTAATAGAAGCTACAAGCTTAAACAATGAAATGCGAATATCAAATCAACAAATGATATTGTTGTTATTTCCTTGAATAATTTATAATTAGAATTTCAATAAATTAGCACTCCATGAGAACTTCAATAATACTTGCTCACATGTCGCTAATTAGTAGTGTTATTTTTTCTTGCCATTTTTGTTGTTTTTTAGGATTCAATTGATATGAATGTATGTAACATACGAAAGCATATAATTTTAATTTTAAATACAGTTATTGAAAATTACCGTGCATGACACGGGACCTAACTAGTACGTCTACAATAGTAGCAACCCGGAACAACGTCCGGGGTCACTTACTAGTTACTCACTCTGTGTTTTTTTTAAGTGTTACAGTTTGACCAGACATAGTTTTAGGTAATTTAATTGACTTAAATAAAATAAGAGGTAAATGAGGTAGTTGGAGTATTAAAAAATTATAAAAGAAAGATAGTAGGGTTAATAATTTATTAAAAAGTACTCCCTTCGTTTTTAAATACTTCTCCATTTCTATTTTTTGCACTATTCATTTATCATATTTTGACTAATGTTTGTGATCTATACATAAGAAAAAATATAGTCGTATGGGTACTTGTTGGAATCATCTCAATGAGTAGTTTATTAATTTCAATTGTTAGAAGTTATACCTATTGATAATTAAAGAAATTAATGATCAAAGATTAGCATCGACATACGTGTCCAAGAGAAATGGAGCAAATATTTTAAAGAGGAAAAATATAATGAAAAAGTAATAGTGGATTTGGGTGGGGATCATCAGACGAGAGAGATATAATATTTTAATGTAACTTTTTACTAAAAAAAAAGAAGTATAACACTTAAAAAAAACACTAGAGAGTAATGAAAATTAAAACACGAGGTCACGAGTAGTACTGTAGCTTTTATCTCTCCTTTAGAAAGAAACGAGAGAACATATTCGTGTTTTCCTTAAAAAAAAAAAAGAAAAAAAAATAAATAAAGAACATATTCGTGTGATTGATTGATTGAATCAGTAACAGTTGGCTGTTTGGGAATTTCGTTCTTCGAAAAGCACGTTATACTTTTTTACTCTCACTGACCACTTTCTGAAACTCATCACCAGAAGCCATGGATGAACCTCCTGCTCAACCCCAAGAGTATCTCGATGTTCTCACCAAAACTGGCCAAAACACCAGAGTTCGCAAACTCAGGTTTATTTTTCTCGAATTCGATTGACGCCTATTTAATTTCCAATCATTCGTTTCTAATTCAATTTTACTGAATTGGTGCTGCATTTTCATTATCACATTATTTATATTGTATTCTTGGCTTTGATTAATAATATTCAATCCAAATTGTTTTAGAATTTGATTTCAGGAAGGTTTTGCAATGAAATATATTGGTGATATGGTAGTTTTATAATCAGGAACTAATCGAAGGTTTTGGGTATCACCGCCAAGACTTTACCAACTAAATGAACTCGTAATCAGCATCCATGATCAACAAAATGACAAAACTAAAATAGTTTGAAAATAGTGTACTCCATAATGAATTTTAGTGTTGGCTCATTATGTTTAGTTACTTTGGCAATGGCATTACTGTAAACAATTATACCGATCTTCTTTACTTATGTAAACTAATTTAAATCACTGACATTGCCATTTCTCTTTTGCTGTGTGCTTGTATCTAAACATCCAAGACTACGGGTCTAAACTGTTTACCTCACTTTCACCTTAATTTCACTTATTTCAGATCTAATAAGTTTAGATTTAGTTGAGTTTAGATAAGTTTAGTTCAGGTTAAAATAAGCCTTGATAAGGCTTGCCCAAGTTCAAATTACAAATAAAATAAGTTTTAATAAGGTCTAATAAGTTCAGATAAGTTCATATAAGTAAAAATCTGGTGAATAGAACACACCCTACCTGTGTATGTATATAGCTCGTTATATATGTGTATATATTTTGTGTGTGTTTTTGTTCCAGTAAGTCATTCGTTTGTATTGAATGATTCACTGTCGTAATGCTGCTTGGTTCTAATGGTTTTGTTCTATGATGTGATGACTTGGGTTTAGATCATCTTAGATTATGTTTGCTGGAGTTTTCTTAGCATTTTTATTGCTGAAGAGAACATACCCGCCTTAATGTTACTTTTCTGAGAACGATTGACCCCTATTAATGAACAATGTATTAATCTGTTGGTGGATGTTGCCTCGATGGTTAATTTCTTATTACTTGTGTAGGGGGGATGTTCATAGAGATGGGGATTATCATCGAGCTGTTCACGTTTGGATTTATTCTGAAAGCACAAATGAGCTGCTGCTTCAGAAACGTGCTGACTGTAAAGATTCATGGCCGGGCCAGTGGGATATCTCCAGCGCAGGTCATATATCTGCTGGTGACTCTTCCCTCATAACAGCAAGGTAAAATATGTCAACTGATTTCTACAGTTTCAATAAATAGTGATTTCCATGTCATTATAAATTTTCGATTCAAAGTGTCAGTCATGTAATTTGTCTTTATTGGTATTTTGACTGGCCACTTCTGTTAGTTATCATATCCATTTCTAGTTGTAAATGGATAATTTGGTGGCCATCTCATTACAATTCATGTGTTAACATTTACTCAAAATTCTTGCAGGAGGGAACTTCAGGAAGAGCTAGGTGTCAATCTTCCAGAGGATGCATTTGAATTGTTATTCGTTTTTCTTCAAGAGTGGTTTGTACTCAACCTTGCTTCTAGTCATGTTGATGGTGATTGCTTTTGTGTCATTGCGGCTATTAAATGAAATTGATATACTTAAAACATGATGTCTAATGGCAGTTTGCAGTGTCTATAGGGTGGTATATGTGGTGGAAAGTTGCTATTCCTTCATTTTTATAGGCTAATGCTCTCCACATTTGAGAAATGGTTTATGAATTTTTGAATGTTTGAGTAAATATATTTGATTGGGTTAGCCGTTTACGTTTAGATGAGTTATCATAAAATTAGCTGTAGCTGCCTAGGAGATAAATTTATCTTATTCAGATCTATTTATTATTTAAAATAAAACTGCTAAAGTTTACCAAACATATTTGTCCACAGTAAATATTGAACCTCTCAATAGTGAGAACTAATTCACAACCATTGTATGTTGCAAGATCCACTGGTTCACATATATGTAATAGTAATTGCATGTGTCTTTACTCTACAAGTTGCATTCTTTTCCCCTTAAACTTATCTTTCCCTCTTCTATATGATTTAATTGAATAATACAACCTCGATCCTTGAATTTTCATCTACTCACAGTTTTAGAGAACTTTTTTGTAACTATTAATGCCCAATAGACTAATAGTTCTATTACAGCCTAAAGGTTTGTAACTTCAAACTTTAGGGTTCATTACTTAACACCAAAAGTTTTGATACTATAAATAAGTGAATGTCCAATTTTTAAGGAATCGGCTCATTAATGATATTTGTGGTACTACCCATAAACTTCTTAACTATGATTTGTGTTGAGTATAGATTCCTTAATGAACCTCTTTCATAGCATTAAGTTTTTTTGCGGCGTGACATAAATGATGCATATCGGAAAGATACATTGAAAAGCCATTTAAATTACTACCTTTGCTAACGGTTATGTGCAACTTTGAATGCAAAAATTTCATAATTGTGATTAATGAATTAAAAGGGTATGTAATTAAGGTTAAGAGAGAGAAAGAAGATCTAACACCAAGACCAACCAACCACCCACCATCACCACCAAGACCAGGCGACACCACGCACATCGTCTTCACCACCTACACCCATACGAAAACCCACCATCTCCACAAAAACCACCCCACAAAACCCACCTATACAAAACCCACCACCCCCACCTATACAAAACCCACCACCCCCACGAAACCCAGGTACCACCTCGACGAAACCAAGCCACTAGCCCCACGAAACTCTCCTCCACGAAACCCAGGCACCACCCCGATGAAATCCCACCCCCACAAAGCCCACGAAATTCATCCCACCATCCTCACGAAAACCCCCACAAATCGACAGAAACCACCGTGAAATTACCACCAATTCGACAAACCCAACGCGAATTGAATTTCTTGAAAGTTGAAGAAAGAAAAGGAAGATCTCAAATCCAATGAAACCCATACTAATTTTTTGAAAGTTGAAGAGAGAGAAAAAAGATCTAAAAAAGATGAAGAGATATAATGAGATTGAAAGAGGAGAGAGAAAATTTGGGGAAAGATGAAGAAAAATGAAGATGAATGACGATGGGTTTTTGTTACTTCAATTGAAGATGAAGAGTAGATAATCGGAATGGGTTGATTGGATGGGGTGAATTAAATGGGTGAGAAGTATTGAGTAATTAAATCTGATTATAGTTTGTAAATTATGTTCTAATTTTTTAAATGAGGGTAAAATGGTCTTTTGAGCATTGTTTTTTCTACTAAAAAAGAAAGAAATTTTTTTTGTTGCACATAATGTTTAATGGCAAAAAATAGTAAAAATTGCACTTAACCATTAAAGAAGGTAATATATCTTTTGTTAATATAATTTATCTTTCGGCTTTTTCACGAAATACCACTGAGTTTTAATAATTTATTAAATACCACCAACTTTTTCAAAATCACCGAATACCATTCAGTTTATACACATTATCACAAAATGCCTATTTTCTTAACAGGCGTGCCGTTTGTGTAATTTTAAAAATTCACCATATACCACTATGAAATAATTTGTTTCACCATATACACTAATAAAACTTATTTCACCATATACCCAAATCTAATAATGGCTAGTTTAGCCGTTGCCATTTCTAACGGCTAGTTTATGAATAAAAACAGCTTATTTTATGTTCACAAGAAAAACTTATTTAAATGCTATAAATACAATGATTAAAAACATAATTACTCCTACTTTAATTGCACTATGTATTAGTTTTTTGTTGTTGTACTAGTCTTCTCTTTAGTTGCTTAACTCTTCCATCAACATAGTGTGGTTGTGCTTTACACCCTATATGAAGCTGCTTTTATACATAAACTAGCCATTAAAAATGGCAACGACTAGGTTTTTTTTTTTTTTTTTTTTTTTTGGTTAAAAAATAAAAAATAGTCGTTATTAGATTTTGGTATATGATAAAATAAGTTTTATTACTCTGTATATGGTTAGATTAAATTTGTCAGGATGGTTTAACGGCAGGCTAACGTCTGTTAAGAAAATAGACATTTTGTGATAATATGTATAAATTGAATGGTATTTGGTGAATATGAAAAAAGTTGGTGGTATTTGGTGAATTTTGCTAAAACTTGGTGGTATTTCATGAAAAAATTGTTTATCCTTTTGGTGGTTCTTATAGATAATATTAAGTTGTTACCCCATCCTTGGGACGTTGGGTGAACAAGTAGTTTAAGAAAACTATAAGTGTGTCAATTTAAAACATTTGTTTATTATATAAAGGATTCTCCTTTTGTATTTTTATATTGTAAGAAATCAAAAAGCGGAAAGGTAAGGGTAGTGAAGAGAGAGAATTTAGGATTTAATTGAGTTATGGGGTTTGTGGTCTCAAAGAGAGTATAGAAAAATATTTTTTTGTTAGTGGTCCCATTCCATTTTTAATAACGTGTCAAATATTTTGGGACGGGTGAAACCATGAACTGTGTCAAGTATTATGGGACGGAGGGAGTATTTATTTTAATTTTGATAGATAGAGATTAGTTTATCTTTTATTTTCTGAATGTTTTATAGTTTATTTTGCTTATATAAAGGGATTTAGGTTGTAACATTTTCGGCAAACATTTGAGTTTTGTTTATTATATGAAAATGTGAGCTTAGCTTGTGTTTATGGTTTGTTAAACTTTGTCGTTATACTAAACTTTGATTCTTAAACCAAGCCTTCAAGTATCGGCTCTCAACCGAACTTTGAGAGTTTTATCCTTGTTTCATTAAAATTCATTAACTCGTATTTCCTCGAGAAAAACGAATTCATAAAACCATAATCGTATAATAAACATATCAAAATCCAAGAAAGGTTTAAAGATAAGTATTTTATTCAAGAGACTCAAAATAGTTGCGTAAATATGCATCAATAAACTTAGGTCCATCGGTGATCAGCGCAAAGAATTAATCTTACTTATGAAACTCTATAATAGTATGGATAAAATGCATTCACATTCACCGTTAAACCTCCTTTTTTCCATTGAAGGGATTAATACGTAGGTTCACTACTAAAGTTTTTCTCTTTAGCACATACATATAAACATTAAGTTCATGATGAACCTCTTTTATGAGAGAAAATCAAAGATCATCAATGGTGTTAGGTATAGAGAAAACTAAGGGTTTTCAATAGCATTGTTGAAAATAAGGAGAAGGAGATACAATGATTAGTGTAGTAGTGTGATCGCTGGCAGTGATGGATTGTCAAGATTAATTTAAATCAATAATTAATAAAAGAGGTTCTCACCATAAGCGTGGTTCTTGTAAACCAAAATCTCTATGTTTCTTGGAATAATATTGCAATGTTTTTTATTGTCAAAACTCAAAAAATTTTGTTTGAAAGGTTTATTAATACCATATTCCTTGTGGACATCAATTTGGAGGTTTAAGGCTATGAGTAAAGTATTTTTATTACCCCTTTGTGCAAACCGGAAGATAGATAAATGTACTCTAAAGAAGGTATAGGGTTTACCAGTTCATGCAATATTCTGGAACATGATGAAGACTCGGTCAACCTCATCTTACTTTTTCATCTTTGGGTGCTTTCTTTGCAGCTCTCCAGTTTCAGTTGATCTACTTGTCATTACTGATACTAGTTCAATGAATCAATGGCACACCAGATTCTTCTCTTAAAACACCATGTCATTTATCTCTCTGCTTTCTTATCTAAGTTAGGAATGACTTTTATATGAATTCATAAATCATTATAAATAACTGGTTCAAAGTGTGAATTTATTTATTCAGTTTTATTTTTATTATATTTTCCATGTTAAAAATGGGAGGGGAGCTTAACTGATGGTTTGGACATTCTGTCATTAATCTGTTATTCTGTAATTTGCTCACTTGCTTGTATAAATAAGAGAGAGAGAGAGAGAGAGAGAGAGAGAGAGAGGGGGGGGGGGGGGGGGGGGGGGGGGGGGGGGGGGGGGGGAGGGGGGGGGGGGTTGTCTCAGAAGATTAGGCTTGTGAAGGATGTATTATGGAGAGAAGCCTTTCTATGGCTGTACTTCTCCTCAATAACAGGAATGTAGGATTTTTGATCAAGGATGCTTTGAAAATCTTCTCCTAATTGGTTGTTACATGCACAATGCACCATCCATCTTTGCAGCTTTTCGAGTGTTTCTATTGTTATGTTAAGGACTGAATTAGTAAACTTAGTTTTAGTTTGATTAAATTGTTATTCCCCTTGATGGTGTCTTTATGTTCTGGATCCATTGTATTCCCTTTCTTGCTGTAGTTCTATCCTCCTCTTTTGTTTTAACAGAAGAGAATTGTCGAGCAGTTTGATCCTATACATGATGTGTTGATTTGCTCAATTTTTCACATCTGATGGCTATTGGTTTATTTATTTGTTTACCAAGTTTGCTTTTTTAAATGCAGCATCATTAATGATGGAAATTATATCAATAATGAGTATAATGATGTTTATTTGGTGACCACCATAGCTCCTATCCCTTTGGAGGCATTTTCTCTTCAGGTAAAGTTGCACTAGGCATTCATAATGTGTCACCTTGCTTAAATATGACTTCTTTTTTTTTTTTTTTTTTAAAAAGTTAAAAATTTATGAGGAAGAAAATAGGGGTTACATTGATTGAGAAAAAAGATGAGGGAGAATTGCTTAAGGTGGTTTGGCCATGTCAGAAGAAGACCAAGTAAGGCTCTGGTAAGGAGGCTTGAAGAGTTGCAAAGTGTTGGGATAGCGAGGGGTAGGGGAAGACCTAAAAAAACTTGGAAGAGGGTGATTGAGAGTGATATGAGTGCTTTGGGATCAAGGAAAATATGGTGTTGGATAGGCGGTGTGAAGGGAGAAAATTCACATAAATGACGTGTCATGATTATATATATAATTTTGTTTATTTTATCTTAGTATTTTACCCAATTCGTGTTTTATGAATTTTATTGATTTCCTTTGCTAATGTTTTCTCAAACCTTTATGTTTTTTAGTCACATGTTTTTTCCACTTATGTAAAACTTTCTTAAATTTTATTCTTGGTTTCTCTTTTAGAATTCTCTTAAGTTTTACTTGGATGTTCTTTATTTTTCTCACTTACACCTTTTTTCAAACTCTTTTTACTGATTACCTTGTTAAGTTCCTTTTTCTATATTGGATAGTTCCTTATGATGATTCATGTTAGCCAACCCTAAATCATTTTAGGACTGAGGCTTTTTTGTATTCTGTAAAAGTATTAGTCCTTTTCTCTTGAGCTGACCTTTTCAAATAATAGTCAATGTTCTTGAATTTTGACTAATAATAATATTAAGCTATCTATACATTAAATGTGCAACGATATTCGTTTAATTTGTCTTTATAAGAAATTATTGGACACCCTTTATTTTTTTTTTTTTTAAATTTACGAACATTTAAAAACAATTGCAAAGATCACAAAGTCAATATTAGAACACCATTCTACGATGAAGGGGTATTTAGTGGGACTATATATTACTTTACATGATCAGTTTTTAGTGTTCAACTTTTTACCATAGACTTTTGTTTCTAGGAAAGTTTGAATAAGGTGAGTAGATACTAGGGAAAGGTGAATAAAGTAAAAGAAATGGAGTGAAAAGATAGGCATGTGTAAGAAAAAGCAGATGAAGTAAGAAAGAGAGTGGAAATGTGTAAATTTAATGGAGTTAAGGAGGGTAAGATGGTAAAAGATAAAACAAAGTAGAAATGGGTAAAAAAAAATCCTCAGAATCGAAAGCGGATAAAAAAAAAAAAAAAAAGTGTTTAATTATACTTCTCACCAGTGTTTCGAGGAGAGATGAAGAAATGGTGAAAAAAGGGAGGAAAAGGAAAGAGAAAAGAACACAATTCTGATAAATATGGTCAATGACTGGATTTTGATGGGTGGTACCTCGTTGCCACCAAAATATGATAAAAAAGTATTCTTAAGGCTGTTTCTGACAAATTTTGTATTATATATCTTGCCTTTAAAGCTCAATACTCACTACAGAATCATTTTAAAATAGTGTACTTGTTATTAATACCAGTAAACTATAAAGTTTATAAGATTTAATATCAGGAATGATTACTTGAGAAAACGATTTCCAAGTGATCACTCACTGATACATTTATAGGAATGCTACTACTAACTTTGTTTAATTTATTGTCAGCTACATGATGCTTTGTAACTGATATTGGCTAACAACTTTTCTCAGGAATCAGAAGTATCAGCTGTCAAATACATTTCTTGTGATGAATACAAAAGTTTGCTGGCGAAGGATGATCCTGACTATGTCCCTTATGATGTAAATGGTCAATATGGGGAGCTCTTTAACTATATTGCACAAAGGTATTTGACTTTCTTTCTGCTTAACCTGCTTATTACATGCTTCATATTACTTAACAATTCAAAGTGTGTAATTTTTCTCTTGTTTGGATTATTCTCATCGATCGTGCTTTATATATATTTTGCTGCTAGGAAATTTTCCTTCTGGAAATTAAGTGCAAGATGTGGTGCTGAGATTTTTTATTCACCCTCACCACCATTGAAATTTCTCTTGTTCACTGGCACAGCCAAAAAGTTTGATTTAGTTGCTTGTCTATTATCACTAGCTTTTAGATATCATTCACTAGAAAGAAAGGAACCATTATAGGAGTTCAATAATCACAATGTTTGTCTCTGCTTTTCTTGGTCTTTTATGATTTCATTTTTCTTGCTATGGCTATGTGCCTATGTGCAGATGATTCCACTAAGCAAGTAAATACTAAATAGTATGAGCATTTTGATATTATATTCTTCTTGATATGATTGTCAATTCTAATTTTATCCGACCCTGAAGGTACAAAGAGAATGTGGAAGAACGGAGTTTAGCTCTTCAAAGGCAACTCAATCGTTATGCACCTATTCCCCTTAGTGCAGAGGTTGTTTATTTTCTTGATAATCTGATTGCATATTTAGTCATGAAATTATCGTGATGGTTTCACTCTTTGGTTCCCTAAATATGAGCTCTATATGCACAATTATGCTACTCCCTCTGAAGTTTGAGTCGCTTTTAATTTTGAGCATTTTAAAAGTTTCGATCCACTTCTACTAAATTCTAAATTTGGATAACCCCGTGTACAATCTTAGCCCTCTTACCCCACTCTATTTACATCTTACTCTCGCTTACTTTATTCTTCTTTTTCTTACACCACCCACCTTTTTACCCCTTTTCTCTTACTTTATTCACTTTTTTCTTACACCAACTTACTTTTCCCATAAATTCCTAGTAGCAAGAGTATAGTAAGAAAGTCGAACTTTCAGAAATGGAGGCATTACAAATAATTGTCTTGAAAAATTACAATGGAGAGTAGTGTATCTTGTGTTTGTAAGGGTTCATCTCTATGTAACTCATGGGTGATTTTCTATTTATATGGCTTCTCAGCTTATTAATTAATAACTGTTTGTACTCCTTTCTAGTTTCTATTGGGCCCGGATCACCCATGATGGGTTGCACGCACACTCCACTCCACATTAGTATGATATTGTCCGCTTTGGCCTAGCCCTCACGGATTTGTTTTTGGCCACCTTCCCAAAAGGCCTCATACTAATGGAGTGTGCACTAACTTATAAGGAGCTTTTCACTTCCTTATTCCTTCAATGTGGGACTTGAGATGAACAACCCCAACAGTCTCTTCTTTAATCTGTCATGAATTCTTCATTGTCTTTAAAATTTATGTTTAAAAAAGATAGGGTTTTTCTAAGCTATGCCCCCAAGTTCTTCGGTTTCTAAGCTGTACCCATGCATTTTCAAAGTTATAAGTTGTGCCCTCCACCTCACGATATTATATCAACAATACCCTTTGACAACAATATTCGTTAACGAAAGTTAAGTTATTTTATCAACAAGGGTGTCGTGGCGTTATTAATTTGACACGTGTCCCGTTCTAATTGGTTTAACAGTTTAATAAAATTTAAAAAATCAGAAAATAAAATAAATAAAAAAAGGTTATTGTTAACGTCAAAGGTTATTGTTAATAAAAATTAGTGAGGTTGAGGGCACGACTTAGACGTTTGAAAAGACATGGGCACAACTTAGAAACCGAAGAAGTTTGGGGGCATAACTTAGAAAAACCCAAAAAGATATGATTGCTTACATATTGATGCTCTTGATTCATACCATATCTGGTGGGGATTTTCTTGGATAATTTCTCATTCAGGAATTCAGCATGGATATGGTTTGGTGAGGTTCACGTTGTTCCTGAATGATGTCTGTAATTATCAATTTTTCTCTGTATAAATTAGAGAAATATGTATTCTATAGCACAACTTGATAGAATTTTCTGTGTTCATATTTGATATTTTTGTTGTGTCAAACTTTGAGATACCATGGTGAGGCCTAGGGCTGACCAACTTTTTTTTTTTTTTTTCTTTTGTTGATGCAGCTTGGTGGGATTAGTGACTCTGATAAAGAAGCTCTTGTGTTGGTTCTTAAAGCTGCAATGATAATGGATGATATATTTCACCAGCAGGTTCAATTTTTTTAAACATATGCTTGTACAAGCTTCTTAGATGACTTTGTTTGTGTGGAATGCTTGTTTTTCCGCCTTTCCGGTGACCTTTTAAAGCATATATTCCTCAAATATACTTTTCTTGGCTTGTTTGGAAGTGGCTGTGAAGTATTCAACTAATTCAAATGTTTGCAAGAGTGTGAGATACGGAGAGAAATGAAGTTTTTGCATGTATATTAATCCTTGTTTTACCAATTTCAGTAATTGTGAGGGCTGTGGGGGGAATTGAAGGATTTCCTTTCTTGTCTTGAATTTTTCATTGCCGTATACCGGCAATGGCTAAAATATAAATTAGTAGGGCAATCTTATTCTTAACATCTTGTGAAATTTTGACAGTGACATATCATCAACTAGTGACTGTTATTTGTAGTATTTGCTTAAGGTAAGGTTATCTTGTGAGCTATCCAATACCATTAACAGTGCCTTGTGAATATTCTAAGAAGGAAAATTGAGGTTCTCCAGTTGCTGGTTATGCTGATAAGTTTTGATGAAATTCTTGGAAGGGCACACTTCATCAATTATCTTATGCACTTCAAGGTCAAAGTTAGCTACAATAAGTGTTAGTTTTGAAAGTGATGAAACCTTTCTGCCACAACATTCCTTTGTTTCTAATGGCTTACCATATTTCATTCCAAAGAAATAATATTAAGAGAGAGGAGTTATATTTGTAAAACTAAAAATTATGACCCAAAAAGCAGTTTAGTTATTTCGGCTGATTTGAATATGAATCCCATTAATCCGAATGTGATCCAATCTGATTTAAAAACAATAATCCAATCCAAATTTATTTAGCTTGGATTGAATTGGATTTTGTTGTTTATTTAAATAGTGGACACACCTATCTACAAGAGCATATAATTCTTGATATATAGCATATGATAAAAGTTAATGGAAAAGAGGGTTCTGTTAATCACTGCCGGAGTTAAATTCTATGATTTATGCAACCGACCCAATCCTATTGGAAATTTAGGATTAAGGCTTCGACTGTGATTAAAAATTGTCGGGGAATTTTTTCCTGAAAAGGATTTAGATTGAAATTACTTCTCACCCCCCCTATCTTTATGTGACCATATACTATTGACTCTTCTTTCTGGAAGAAGAGTAGGTGTTAGGAAAGATTTGATAAAGTAATAGCGATTAAGTAAAATGGAGGGTGAGTGTAATAAAAGGTGGATTAAGTAAGAGAGAATGATGGAAAGGTGTAAATGTTGTGGGGTAAGGAGAGCTAGATGGTAAACATTTGCCAAAAATAAAATAAAGTAGAAGTGGGTGTACTAAAAAAAAAAAATAAAAAAAAAAAAGAAGAAGAAGAAGAAGAAGAAGAAAAACAGGCAGTTTTATAGTTTTCTTATAGGAAGCTGGAGTGTTGTGTTTTAAAATCAAAAGAGTCCATCTCTGAAACTGTTGAGTCATTGTTTTTGAGCCACCTTTTAGTTCTGAAAATAATCTGTAGCCTTTATGAATGTCTTAGGTTGGTCTTATAATTTTGGGATGATTACGAATGAGAAGCTTTTGAAGGATTTACTATGAATTAAGTGGTTTTCTTTCTGTCACTGTAGGCTATCTGTAATTAAATTGTTAACATTGATGTCTTGCTTCCTAATTTCCTATCATTTTTGGTGATCTAAATAAAATTTGAATGTTCCTCAAAAAAAAAAGAAAAGAAAAAAAGAATGAACTATTGTTTTAGCCTTGTTTTGTATTCTTCTTTAGTTTATGTCTTTTTCCTTGTCTAGCCTCATCTTATTTTGAATAATGAACAACAGAAAAAGAAAATTTACTAATTGCTCACTTTACTTCACCTTTTCAGCAGAGTGGAGTGCATGTAATTCCTCATAACTAGAAGAGTTGAACCATATATCTGCCAGATTGCTAAACAGTGAACCACATTGTGAATTGTATCCCCTGTCTTAGCTTTCTTAACCATGAGCGGTTTATTTCTCACCAATGTGTTGGACTTTATGCCTTTAAGTATTGATTTTAGCGTGACAGTTCAGAAGTGCTTGATTTATCTTATGTATTTCCATTAGTTTATACTAAAGCAAAAAACTTGGACATGAAAAATCTGGCAGTAGCTGTTTTTTTTTACTTTTTTTTCCTCTCCCTTTTTCTTTTAAAAAATGCAAATGTTTCATTATTTCTACTATACTTTATCTGTGCTGAGAGGTTTGTATCCTTTGTTTTTATTTTACAGGTTTGTGCTAGCAATCCGGCGTTGAGGGATTGGTTGAAGGAGCATGCTGATACCTCTCCCTTAAATAAGTTGAAATGGAAGTACTTTGGTATTAATAAAAGTCCATGGTAAGCACCAGTGTTTATGATATTGCTGTAGAAGGAACTAACTTCAAATTATATATCTCAAACAGTGCTGAAAATGATTTAAGTTGCAAGTAGGAATGGCAATGTGTCAGAATACTTGGTGCAATTTTCTATCTTCGGATTTTAGTCCTTATCTGGCTTCAATCCGAGTTCAATCCTACGACCTTCGAATCCGTGCCAAATATTTTAATTTCATTTTCTAGTATTAACATTCACTCAATTATCGGATTCTAGGCCATCAAACACAGATCTTTCCTTCAGTCTGAAAAGTAAGGGAGATCAATGATCCAAAAGTTGAACACTTAAGATGAATTTTACATTTGCGTTTATATTAATAGATTATGTAAATTTTATAACGAAGGAGTATACATTAAAATTGACAATTTCTAATACGATTAAAGTTTAAAGGTTCTTATTCATCTAAATTTTACAATACAATTGTTAAGCTGAGTGGGAGATCTCTTGAAGTGCGAAGGCGGGTGACGACTGATAAGAGTATAGTGTGTTTTAGGTTTCCTTTGTTTTTACTTCCTCCTTTTTATATTAGTTGACAAGTTTGTTTTTGGGCACTATTCATATAACTTACTTTGACTTCCTTGTGTGGTTTATACTTAGAAAAAAACATAGTTATGAGGGCTATTGATCAATTTCTAAATGTATATTTTCAAATATAAAATTTATATAAGATGTTAATTTTGATGTTTAAAAATATTGATAATTGAAATCATCCGTTGGCATGCCTGAAGAAAAGTATTATGTAAAACAAGTATTAGTTTGTATATATGATAAAAAATTTAAAAATTGCAAGACATCTTATATGTTAGTCTCTACATTGCCTTTGACTCTGACTAGATTTTGATTTGGATCTAGCATTTAATTATCGGATCTAGACTTAGACTTTCTAATTTTGGATTTGGAACAGATTTTTTTTGGTCGGGATCTTATCGGATTTGGGCCAAATTATGTTTAATTTCCACCCCTAGTCTTAGTTTTTAAGGGCGCAAAAAGTCCTTGGAGCCTAGGCGCAAGGCGAAGGCACACACCTTTTGTAGGTGAGTCACACTTTATTCATATAGAAAAGATAAATAAGTGAAAATGAATTTATTAGAAAAGGTGAAAGGGCCATGTGAATGATGTGATCAATAACAAGGGTTCTTCAAATCGAATTATAGGATATGGGATTTCTCTCCACTAGAATTGAAGAAAACCTACCTGCCCATAACAAAGTCTTATGGTATACTTTAGGAAATATAATCTTACACAATAGCTATTGATGCTTTAAAACATAAAGCGCAAAATAAGGTGCAAAGGCGCAAGAAGTAGCCTAGAAAAAAGAGCAAAGACGCGCGTCTTTTGTAGGTCTTTGAGCCTCAAAGAGCTAAGGCACCAACTCTTGAGCCTCACTGTGCCTTGGGCCTAGGCGCGCTTTTTAAAATTAAGCCCTTAGTTTCAAGTAAAGTGCCCTCCTAAATATATATATATATATATATATATATATATATATATATATATATATATATATATATATATATATATATATATATATATATATATATATATATATATATATATATATATATATATATATATATATATATATTATAAAAGTTTACCCCACCCGGTTCACCGGAGCTTAACTCCAATTATATCTGGATCCGACCCGAGTTGTACACTTGACTTATGGTGGTTGATTCTCCCAACAAGAGTTTTCTGCGTTCGGTGAGGCTCGAACTCGAGACCTCCCTAAAACGACATCAAGCTGCTTACCACTTGAGCCAACTCTTATTGGTGCCCTACCAAATACATTTCTAAAAATTGTTGTTTATGTAGTCTAGTATAAAATATCTGTTAATGTATTTCATGGGTGCAAAAATAGTGCTGAGAAAGAAAGATTTGAATAAATTCCATTGGATTGCGAAAACGCTTATGACAAGGTATTGTGTTGAATGCATTCTTAATAAATATACTGACCTAATTAAAGATATCTATTGAGATGTGAAAACAAATGTTAGACTTGTAGTCGAGTAACAAAGGATTTCCCAATCACCATTGGACTCCCTCAAGGATCGACGTTAAGTCCTTTTCTCTGTGCTGTATTTTTTGGATGAAGTTAGAATGTCTATCTAGGATGAGGTACCATTCTATTTGCAAATAGCCGAGACTATAATCGGGGTGCATGTTAAAATGGAGCAATGGAGATGGTCCCACGGGTTTAGACGTTAGATTGAGTTAGAATAAAACAAGGTTCATGGAATGTCGATTTACCACTGCAAGGGAGTCTAGCAGGGATGTAGCTACTTAACTATGGGCTGTAGGGAGTTGTCCAAGAGCAAGTGTTTTAGGTATTTTGGATTGATTTTACATAATAATGGAGATATTGAGCTAGATGTTTAGATTATTAAATCTGGATGGACCAAATGGAGAGCTGCAACTGGGGTATATTGTGAATTGTCATACCCATGGTGTTAAGGTAAAGTACGATGCTGTCATATGTGTTTGATTGTTGGGTTCCAGAAAAGGCGCTCAAAACATGGAAGTTGTGAGATGGATGTGTTGGAATACCGTAAGGCATAATTTGGGAATGCAGATATTCTGGAGAAAGCTGAAGTTGATTCAAATATAATAAGGGACAGCCAGTTATGCTGGTTTGGGCATGTGAAACAAAGACTTGAAGAAGCACACATAAAAGAAGTAGAAAGGTGGGATCATGAGTGTCTTTAAAAAGGTCAAGATTCTAAGATGAATCTAGTAAGGAGTTGAGAAGGATATGGAGAAATTGGATTTATATGAGCGCATAGGACTTGAAAGAAGGGAATGGAGGGAAAGGATCATGGTTTATGATCATTGGGTATGAAAAATTGATTCATGTATCCGGCTCCATCGTTGGGTTTAAGGCTTTTATGTTATTGACTACAGATTCGCTTAAATATTTAGTGACTTGGTAATTCTCTTATAAATTCATTTAATCTACTAAAGTTGTATCTAAACACATTAACAAGTGACTTTGCTAGCGCATTATGGGCTGAGATAGCCAAGGCTTTCCCATATTAAACACTAGAGGAGATAAAAAGAAACTGGGTTTATTTTTCAAGCTATGTAGTATAAAGTGCTTCTTTGTAGGACACTGGGCTGTGGGCACCTTGTCCTCTTATTGTATCCCCTTTAAATTTTTATTTTTTAATTTTTTTTGTGCTGTGTTAATTAGTAATTTTGTTCTGCAGGAAAGTTAAAACATGCTGACCATTAAAATAGTTTGGATCAAATTATCCAACTATAAACAACTGTTAAGTAATCCATATTAGTTCTTCAATTTTTAAAGTTTAACTCAGCTACTGTAACCAAGGAGAGTAGGAAAAAGGACCACATATGCACCTTTTTAGGTGAGGATAGAATGAGGGGCAAATAACGTATGAGGATAAAGTGAGCAGATGTTGAGAAAGAAATTAGGAAAACAAAGGGAGTAACTCAAAATAAATACTTAGTAACTCATAAAGTGAGCATTTAAACAATCCTATGATATTTGGGTCTTTTTACTGTTATTCCTGTTACCTTATGACTAATGTGCTACTTGAAAGCGAATCTGTCTGTTTCTAGTGACTGATCACTGTATTGTTTGATTACAGGTCGTGCCTAGATGAAAACCAGGCATTTCTAAGTACGGCTGATTCTGCAATTATAATGCATTCTCATGCCACAAAACTGGTGTCTGGCTGGAAGGGACTTGAGTATAAAGCTGCATTTCCTCTAGCAAAGTCACCTGGTGCAAATTTTTATCCTTCAGATATGGACAAACTGGTACATGTTCATTTATCTTTTGATCAACTTTTTTTAATGCATAAATATGATGCAATGGCCTTTTCCTTCTTTGAGGCCTTGCATAATGGAAAAGGGGATGGATGTGGAGAATATGCTTTTTTTTTTTTAGTTCATAGAAAGAGTTGCAATTTAAAAAGCTAAACAACAGTCAATACTTTCTTTTTTTACCTTCATATTTTAGTGCTGGGAATACCATTCTGTCTTTTACTTTCCAAGGGAGACCCTTATCCCATTTCTGTATCTAGGTTGTGTTGTTATGATGTGGGTATGGCAGTATGGAGTCCAATAATGATAAATCGACATGGTAACTGAGCAAGCTGACTCAACACACATTCTTCTTATTAAGTTATTAGTTCTGGAATTAACAATAGTGACTAGCAACAGAAAAACATAAGGTAAGCCTAATTAACACCGTTTATCAAAATGAACCTTTTTCAGATACCTTTCATCTTTACCATGCAAAGCAATTGTTCCCCGTTTCACAACTTAGTAAGCTTGAGCATGTAAATTGACATACTCCACATTTTGTTTATTAAATTTGTTAGTTAGATTAGTGTTGAGTAACTTGAGTCTATGTAAACATAATATCCATGCAAAGTCCTTGACCTTCTTATCTAACTTTTTTTACTAAATAAAGTTTTTACCTTTTACTACCAAATAAAGGTGGCCAAAGCCGAAAGAATAAGAGTTTTGTGAGTGGAATTTATGTAGATGATTGAGAAAGAGATGCCAGTAAAAGGGTTCAAGGAACCTACTAATTTTTAAGTCCTGGTAATTGGATAAATCTGGTAAAGTTGTCTTCCCTTTCTGAGTAATCAACTTGTTTCTTTCTTGTAATAGTTGTAAATACATTTTCCCTTCGTAATTTTCTTAAAGAGGTAACAGTATCTAGGTTTGGTTGTTTCAGATGCTCTATTTTTATGTTCCTCTCTGTTTGATTTAAATTATAAAAGCTATTTTGATCATAAGCTTTGGTTAAATTGCTTGTCATTTTCCATGCAAAAGAATTCATGTCAACATACTTTCTCCCCAGGAATTTGAATTATGGAAAAATAGTCTTTCTGAGGATGAAAGACAAGAAGCGATGGGCTTTTTTAATGTCATAAAAAGACACAGCGGAGTCACAGATACCCCATCTGATGGGGGCAATGCTGATCAATCTATCCATGATCTTTACTGTGTCCCATTTTCTCAAGAGTATTGGTCTTATCTCACAAAAGCTTCAGAATTGCTTTATAAAGCAGCGGAACTAACTAGCTTTTCTAAGTGAAGTCTTGTCCCTCTATGCTTTCGGATTTTCATTGCTTAAATTTATTTCCTTATTTATTTGCATTTTTTTATTTGTTTTGCTTGATTGTAGCCTGAAGAAGCTGCTGTACAGTAAGGCTGACGCATTCCTTTCGAATGATTATTATGATTCTGACATAGCCTGGATGGAATTGGTCTGTGATTTTTATCCTTTAATATCAAATTTGTTGTACAAAATATCTTTAAAAGTTTGGTTCACACTGGTTTAATCTAGCGATTTCCTTGGGAAAACATAATGAAAATATTATACAGAAACTAATACTTTCCTTTTTGGATGCTAAAATTTATTTCCCGTTAATCTTTATGATAAAAGTAAATTGAAAGTGAAAACTATATTTATGATGTAATAATCTCGTAGCTCCTTTTGGTTTGGGAGCCTTTTTGTGTCTGTTAGTAATGACTAATAAGCAGACTATTTCCCTTAAAAAAAAAAAAAGCGGACTATTTTGTAGTGTCAGTCAGTTGCTGAGCAAACCTCTGGTTGTGAAAGTGGTTTCTTATGTTAACCATCTCTCAAAATATTGAATGCAAAACTTATCTCTCAACATATTACAATGTATAGATCATGTGTTTTAATGTTGAAATAAGCTATGCAAATTTTAGAATGTTGCTGCAAATTTTAGAATGTTGCATTTCCAACTTTTTATATTAATTTATTTTCCCCAATTTTGTAGGATTCAAAACTGGATGTAACCATAGGACCATATGAAACTTATGAAGATGCACTTTTTGGATACAAGGTATGTTATATTGCATGGTAATGTTCTTCTGGGAGATTCTGACCAAAACTTGGGTAGCGTATCTTGAAATGATTCTGGTAGTGAAACTTTCATATGTAACGCTTTGTTTTCATACTAGTTTCAGTATAAAACTGGTTGATATGGTGAAAAATTGCTTCTCGCTAAAGAAGGCTTAAGAGCTATAAGATATGGATGTACCTTTAGTGTTCTTGAATTTATGATTGTTTTCTGTCCTCTGTTTTGTCTTGATGAAAAAACTTCATTCAGTAAATGCTAGGCTAGTTTACTAGGCTTCATTGCTCAGCTTGGTCTGAGATGTTGATGCATCATGATTTTTAGTGACTCTTGTATCATGCTTTAGAATTCTTATACATTAACTAACTCAAGCATTGATCTTCTTCCATTATACTGTTGGACTTTATTTGTTCAAAATATTGTTATCGAACTCACTCCCCAATCTCCACCCCGCAAATCTCGTTTTTTTTGTTTGCAAATATTAGATTACTGTCCATTTGCATTCAAAATCAGCATGCAATCTGGTACGGCCAAATTTCTATACCAAATATTTTGTCAACTCCTGTCCATTGTTGGCATATATGTGTTAGGTGAAATGAAGTAGTTAAGAACGCCGTAGATCTAGGGTTTAAATGGTAAATCCTAGACATGTGAACTGATAGTGTAATTTTCTAAAGGAGTATTTCATTTGTTACCTTTTTACTTTGGGCTTTTCCATTTGGTACCCAATTTCTTTCCGGATTTCACATGGTACTACTATACTTTTAATTTATACTCGACCGTAACATTCTGTTAAATTGTTTTGTATTCTTCGATTTTGGTGCCATGATTAAGGTTTCAAGAGGGCGTTTAAGCCCTTAAGGTTCAAATTAGAAAGAAAGAAAGAAAAAAAAAAAAAAAACTTAGAAATGCCTCGATTTACGTGCGAGAAAATTGTCTCAATTTGCATTTTTCAATTTGTTTGCACAAAAAAAAAAAAAAAAAAAAAAAAGGGAAAGTTTTGGAGGTCATTATGAGTTTATGATCTTTATGGATCAAGTTTCGAAGTTGAAATTAGTTTAAAAAAAAAAAAAAAAAAAAAGACCACAAATGCCCTAAATCAATGTTTTATTTAATGGGATGTTATGGTGGAGAATAATTTAAAATAACTATGGTATCATGTGGAATATAAATAAAAATTGGGTACTAAATGGAAAAGCCAAAGTACAATGATACGATATGGAAAATCCTTTTTCTATATAAAGATGTTATTTGTTGAGGCTCTTATTTGGGAGGGCAAGGTAAGCACTTGGTATTACCAATGAATGTTGTCATGTGGGAGTTGGAACTTTTGAAGTTGGATGTACTACTTCACAGCTCACTCTATTTTACGTTCCCTTTTTCTACTTCTTTAGACTCCTTGATACTTTATGTGAAAAATGTAGGTATAAGTTTGATCGATCTCATTTATTTAATGGGAAAATGATACTATTTCTGCAGCAAAGCTTGACACTTTGCATATATTTTATTTTATTATTATTTTTTAATCTTACTTGGTGTACTGTACATTTAATCAACATGGAATAAGTTTGTCTTCTAAAAATTCATATCACTATGAGTTACTCCCTCCATCCCATAATACTTGACATAGTTACCATTTTCGTTCATCCCAAAATACTTGACACGTTACTAAATATGGAATAGGACCACTAAAAAAAATAATTTCTTGTACTCTTTTTGGGACCACAATCCCCAAAACCCAGTTAAATTCTACATTTTTCTCTCTTCACTACACCCACCTCCCCAACTTTTTATTTTTCTTACAATATAAAAATACAAAAGAGAATCCTTTATATAATAAACAAATGTTTTAAATGGATCCACTTGTAGTTTTCTTAAACTCCGTGTCCACCCCAACATCCCAAGTATTACAGGACGGAGGGAGTATAAATTAAGAAAAATTATCTTTTAGCATAACGGATTTTACATCCAGGTAATAGTGGTTCAAACTTCAATTTTTTTTTTCCTGATTAGCTTTTAGAGGACTCAAATTTCCAGTTAGCTTTTTAGATTTCTGTTGAAGTCTTTTCTTTCTTTTGCTGCAAAGTTATGCCTATAAATCTGAAAACAATGGTCTCTAGGGAATCATCTTGTGCCATGCTTGAATTCTGCAGCAAGATGATATTACAAGTGCAAAATTTTGAAGTTTATGTTGCTTAGAATTGTCATTTGAGCTCTTTATGTAGAATACTCCACCCTCCAAATGGGTTTGGACATGTAGTCATTGCAATTTGGGCAGAATGAAGACAGTACTTTCATTCTTAGCCATACATAATCCAAGTATTTATGTATTACATTATTTACAAAATAATTTATTATAAAAAAAAATTATCGGTGTTGCTGTATGCCTGTACCTACAATGTATATATGGACACTAGTAACCTTGTTCCCATTTCTTATAGTGAATAATTTTTTTTCTTGTTTTTCGATCCATACACATTTCTGACTCTCGTATCCAAGTCAGAGCATCAAGTTGAAGTAAATGCCCATAGTCCTCTTCTGCCATTTATTCTAATGTTCACTAATTTAGTTAATTCTTTTCTTGGTAAAGTTCATTTGATTTAAGTTATCATTCATCCTAGAAGCCTAGTTTGCTGATGACTTTTCTTAATGTTGCAGGCTACATTTGAAGCATTTATTGGAGTTCGAGATGATGATGCTACAGCTAAACTAAAACTTTTTGGTGATAATTTATTGGTATGTTGATTTATTCTAGGATGATTGCTGCCTTTAATATAGAAGAGTTTAACTAATTTGTTTATAATACAAATTAAAGCCTATTACATCCTCCATTTCCCTAAATCACACGTGCTGGCCACTAAATCAATCAATCAATCAAAGCCTTAATCTCACAAGTGCGGTCGGCCACTAAATGCATAGGAAAATTTTGTGAATTTATGTTGAAATTGCATTGAAAATGTGTGTAAGCATTTAATCTTACATTGATTCTCCTTGTTATCAATTGATATATAAGTATAGTATGACTTATATTTTGAAACATACGTTTGTCTAAATTACCTTATAATTAGGCAGTCGAATTGTTTCTAAAATACCTTTTTGTTTCAAAACCTTTTGTTTTAGAATCACACCTTCAAGCTGAAAATTAACTTGATTTGACACTCATATGATCGATGATCAATGTTGAGTTTAGCCCAAATGCACGGTGTTGTTGTTATGGACTGACTAGACTCACACAACAACAATCACAAAGATGGCAGCAGGCAAGAAACTGATTTCATTAATAAGGGTTAATACTCAAACAGTCAAACACAAGGTAACTTGATAGCTTTAGGCTATCAATCTCTAGCCAAAGATGACTTTAGGTTATCACTCTCTAGCCAAAGATAACTTTAGGTTATCACTCTCTAAACAACTTGAGGTTGTCAATCTCAATTCACTAGTTCAATATTCAAAAGACATGCCTTCCTACTCCTACCCTTTTCTTTATATATACATATGAATTAGGAAATTTTGACTTTTGCTACCTCAACTGCACTTTTGCTACCTATGAAAACTTTTATTTTATTTTACAACCTAACGTATGCCCTTTTTTTAAATTTTGCTACCTGTTAACAGAATCAGTTAGGGTTCCATTAAGTTTATTTTTTATTTTTTAAAAAATAATAATAAATTAAAAATTTAAAAACTTAAAAATTAAAAAATTAAAAAAAAAAAAAATCCAGCCACCCCTCCCCTCAATTGCCACCCCTTCCCTCCCCCCCCCCCCCCGCCGGTGGCCGGCGCCTAGAGCTTCGGCCAACGCCTGCGCGAACCCATCCCCCTCCCTTTCCCCACCCTACGCAGCCCCCCTTCCCTTTCCATGACGTTCTCGCTGCCCCGGCCCCCTCCCCGAACCAAAACCACCCCTCTTTCCCCTTCCCCCCACCGGAATCCGCCCCCCAGCCCCGTTCCTCCCACCGAAATCGACCCCCCTCCCCTTCGCCTACCGTTTTCGGCCTTCCCTAACCCTAAACCAGCACCCCAAAGCGAATTTAGGGTTTCGTTTTGGGTGGTTTTGGTTTGGGGTGGGGGTCGATTGGCTGGAGTTCGCTGCTTCAATGGTGGCTGGAGTTCGCTGCGTCAATGGTGGCTGGAGTTCGCTGCGTCTGTTGCAATTGGTGTTGCGGGGTGGCTGGTGGTCAGGTGCGTGGTGGTTGGTAACGCAGAAGACGGGGAGGGGGTCGGGGCAGCGAGAACGTCGGGGAAAGGGAAGGGGGCTGCGTAGGGTGGGGGAAAGGGAGGGGGGTGGGCATCGGCCGCCGGCAGGGGGGAGGGAAGGGGTGGCTGGGGCTTTTTTTTTTTTTTTTTGTGGCTGACGGGGAGGCATTTAGGGTGGCTAAGGAGGGAGTGGTGGCCGGAAGGTGGTAATGAGTGTGGCTGGATCTCACTAGCGGAATTAATAACGGATTCCGTTAACTGCTAGCAAAATTTAAAAAACGGAATTTGATAGGTAGTAAAATAAAATAAAAGTTTTCATAGGTAGCAAAAGTGAAGTTGATGTGTTTGACAGGTAGCAAAAGTCAAAATTTCCTATGAATTACAAGTAATATCTTAATAATCTTTGTCTTGTTGCCTCCTGCTTTTTCATTCCCAGCTTCTTATGCTTGTGTTGCCTCCATAGTGGAACATTAATGGTCTTTGTTCTCTAGTGCTGAAGTAGTTACTTTTCTCTTGCTTGTCTGCTCCTCTGTTTTACTATGTTTGCTCTGATGTTCTGCTGGTTGTGGCTTGCGGTTTCTCTGGTGTACACCAGCGGTGGTTGTTGGGTCATCACAGTTGTTAGAAGAGAATTATCAAATATGTGTTGATTCTAAGGCCAATTTATATTTGCCAAATTATTGTAAACTCTTGCAGAAAAATTAATAATTGGATGAATATTTCTAAGTACTTAAAACAATTCGTATTGATCAATCGTATGCATTTGAAACAATTCGTGCTGATTAACCCTATGCATTTGAAAACAATTCATATTTAATTAATATCCTAGGTAATAAAACACTATTTTGGAATTTGCAGTAACTTTAAAATAAAGATAAGTAGCTGAATAAAGTTCAGACCTTTCAATAAATATAAGTCATTGTCAAAGACATTAATCCACTGCTCACTATACTTGGATGAGTAGTAGTGCATGCAAGTGCTGTGTGCAATGATGAGTGCTGTGTGCTGCGAGAAGTGCATCAAAGTCAGCACACCAAGATAGCGACAAGTGAATGTGCAGGAAAACAAACCTGTGCCTGCTGGCTGGTATTGTGCGGAGCCTTCGATGAGTGCTGTGGCAGGTGGAAATTTAGTTCCCCAAACAAATGTTTTGGGCTTGTGCCAAAGCTACTCAGCGCTTATTCTGGTGTGGGCGTGTGAATGCTTGCAGGCAGCCTTGTGCTGCCGTGGGATTGACAGATGACCTTGCCTTGAGGATGTATTGACTACCTAGCTTGTGCTATGATCTGCATACCCTTCTAATTATATCCAAGCACTAGTGCAAGTAAGATCTGCACATTAAATATTTCCGACTTGTACTTCAACATGAATAAATCGATTATAACTGGACCAACTCCTTCAAAAACTCTAAAGTATTTAAATGACTTTGAAATAGTAAGAAAAACACAAACAAAGCATAATAGAGCTCAATAATGATAACCTATGCAAATAAGACCGTGAATGCCGCTGAAAGGCTAATTGTGTTGTTGTTAACTTACTTTTTTGTTTACTTTGTTAGGTTTTGGAGCAAAATCTTCCAATGAAAGACACATTCAAATCCAAAGATGTCACAGCCGCTCCAATTCGTGTCATCCAGCTTCTTTACAATGCTGGGGTATGTTCTTCAACCATGAATACATACATCTATTATTGGCTTAATCTGTTGATTATGTATACCCATTTCATCGCTTCCATGCGGTTTTTATGCTATTACAAGTTATTGCATACTCTCCTACTTGTTGTAACAAATGTTCCAAATTTTAGTATTATATATGCACTCTTGCTTGTACTTTGCATCAAACAAGGTTTTAGATGAAGTAGTGCAAGAGGAGTAAGATGCATCTACGGAATAATGTAGATGCAAAGTAAAAGCTATAAGATGTATTGAGAGGGTGCTGTTTCTGCTATAATATTTGATTATCTTGATTGGAGAAGAAGCGCTTTAAGATGTTAGTGTTACTTCAGGATGTGAAGGGACCTCAAACTGTTGCATTTAACTTACCAAATGATGAACGCATTGTGAAAGATCGTGGTACTTCAATGGTGATGCTTAAAAATGTCTCAGAGGCAAAGTAAGTCAAGTTTTCTTTTCCTTGACTGCAGTGTTTATTTATTTATTTATTTCTATCACTGTTTGCATGCTATTTTTACTTATTGTTATTGTTATGCTTTCTAAATATCTACCATGACATGACTGGACCAGGTTCAAGCATATTCTTTTTCCAATAGCCGAGGGATGCATATCAAAGGAGCAGCAAGAGCTTGTTGACTTTGATTCATTCTTCACTCACACAATATGTCATGAATGCTGTCATGGAATTGGTCCTCATAGCATAGTGCTTCCAGATGGTCGGAAATCAACAGTGAGATTGGTAAGTCTACCGAGGCCTTCCATTTTTAATAACTATTGTTTGTTTGAATTGAACACTCTTATTTCAAGAATCAAACAGTAAGAACTTAGATGACTAAAAATGGTTGAAGAGCTATTTGCAAAATGATCATGTTTTACTACACTGGCTCAGTAAAGTGAGATAAATAATTACTTTTGAGTAAGCACTATTTATTTGGTGAACTAAAATTGTTGAACTAGGACTAGAAGTTAAAAATGATTAGGGAACAAAATATTAACCATTTTCATTGCATCCGCATCATAGCTTTCAACCTTAGCTTTAAGCACAAAAATGATGATTTTAGTACTCATCTTTGGTATATGGACTTAAAACACCTTTGAGGATAAAAATCATTTGCTAGTTGCTTCTTTGAGTTACAAGTCCTTTTTTCCCCTCTCCACTGTTGGAGCCTAACTCTTGCTTAATATTATTTAAAAATTTTGGTTTACACTCATAAACATGTTTTAACCATGGCCTTAAATGATTCGGTGTATAAAAGGTTTTCGCCCAATACGAGAATAAAAATTTATCTTTGTGATGTTATGTCGTTACTGTAATTACTCACTTTATAGGACAATGCTATAGTATGCTCATTAGGGCAGTCTCAATCATAATTAGAGTACTATTTATTTAGTTGATATGTTACTATCGTTGTGGCTGTTCTTGTTCTCTAGGAAAAGGCCGAAAAGTATTAAGGAGACTAGGATTAAGCCAATCAAACCGATGTCTTCTCATAGTGATTTATTTTTTGTTTTAGTTTAATTAAACCATAGACCTATAATCTAGTCTTGGGACAAAGAGATTGAAATTGATTGCGTGAGGTAAATTGATCAAAAGGGGAAACAAAGATGAGATAAATACTATTGATGGAATTCAATAACTTTTTTGTAAAACGATGTATATTTCTTCTGCTCTATTGTGGCACTACTCATACTCTCTCCTATTACATCATATTCTGATTTACCCGAAAATAAAATTATAGACAGGTAGGATCTTATTGGATCTGTCTCAATTTGTACTTTATGAAAACTAAATTCTTTTTTTTTAAACACTAAGAAAGATATTGCATTGGCAAGTGTGAAATTCTTAGTGTTGCAAGTAATATGGAGCAGAGTAAGTATTATAATTTTTTTCAGCTTCATTCAACAATTAGGTACAAAGTTATAACACATGGAGATTAGGTTAACATGGACAAATGGGTTTTTCATTTGTTTGCTTGTATTATCAACTATGTTTCTATTATTTTATGGTCCCTACGAAAAGTGTAAGATAAAGGCCCCTTACGTAAATAACTTTTTTTTTAATTTTATTATTTGGATATATATTAATAAAAGACAATGAAAAAAATAGCTTATTTTATCTACCATAATGCATCTTAATACACAATAGTAGACTGTAGTTTTGCAAAATACTATAATATTTCTCTCTTCTTTTAAGTTTATAACAACTGATTTCTTCGAGCTTTTGGTGTGGCAAATAATCAAATCAGCACCAATATTTTCTAGCTATCCTTCTCAATTGACATTGTAGCTAAACTATTTGACCTTGTCTGTGACATTGATGGCCTCAAGTAGGATTTTATGAACTTTAGTTTTCAGTCAATGCTACAATCACGGGCACTGTTAATGGAATCCTATAGGTTATTGATACATTTAGATGACAATTTGCAAGTTTGAAAAATGTAAGAATATTAATGGCATACAGTGATTTCGTTGCCATGGTATTGATTTGCCATATTTGAAGTGTTTGAAGGCAGTAGACATTGGAATCACTGCTTCCACTGGCTGAAAACTTGAAGCCTTTCAAATTTGGGAACCGAAGAAGGAGGTGGAGAGGTTGTTATTCTTGTTAATTGCTCGGTGGTTTCCGCCTGTGAGCAACTTAATTAATGAAAGGAAATAAGGAATCAAACAAAATTATGAATTGTATGACTTATGGAGTTTTAGTTTACTTGTACTACATTCTGGCTGTAGACTAGTGGAGGATAAGTGGAGAACTATAAGTCTATAACCTAGTAGAAGACTGATTTTATTTAGTTATTTTAATATCGGCTCCCTTTCAGTTGGGGCCCTTGGTGGTTACACTCCTTGTTTATGCTCAGGGCGGAACCTGAGTGTAATTAATTTAACTTTTGACAGGTTGATGTTCTTACTAATTTTGTCAATTTGTCTTTTTGGATTTGTTATTTTAAATGATAGGTGATTTAATTTTGTACTCTTATTGCTGATGCATTTGGTAGAGGCAATGTAATACTCTCTTATGAGCTTTAAAATGAGTTACCTTTCCCCTTCCCTGTTCAAAATCTTGATGCTCCTATATTCATATTGCTATTATCTTTCAAAACAGTTTGACATTATGGAGGCTGTTAATTATTGCTTGCTTGTAACTTCTTGAGAGAATGTTAACAATTTACTTGTAAAACAGGAGCTTCAAGAACTGCACTCTGCATTAGAAGAAGCAAAAGCAGATATAGTAGGCCTTTGGGCACTAAATTTTTTCATCAGTCAGGTTAGTGATTATGAATGCCTCTTTCGTTGTTTTGAAAATTGTGAGGCTTCTTGATGCTACTTAACTTTCTTACCGCTCTTCATTTTGTAAAATTACTTTTCACCCTAGTTCTCTCTAGTGATCCACATCTTTTTGAGAAATCTTGACATCATTTTTAATTTTGAAGAATTTGAACCTCCTCTAAAAGAATACAAAATATAAGTTAGTTTACGATACCAATTCATCATAAATTGTTACTTGTTTACATCGACGCAAACATTATCATGTAACAATTTTGATAACAAGACACCACTTGAATCAAACTTTAACAAATTTATCACACTTTTTTAATTATGGTAAATATTGTCGAGTTTGTTATAATAGATCAAAAGGAGTACTAGTTTCAAGTCAATTGAAACACAAGATATCATAATTGACATACACGTGTTTAAGAACTCTTATAGTCAACTTAGCATCTATGAAGTTCATATCTTTTTTTGTTCGATCCCCCGCAACAACAATCGGGAAGTGACTGGAGTTGTTCACCAAGAACTGTGCCCCGAATCCGGATTAGCCCAAAGGGTCAACCGGGTGGACAGGGGCGAAGCCAGGATTTTCAAGTCCCGAGGGCCGGACTTATTAGACAAAAGATTGATGGAAAAAATTAAAGTGTACTAATATTTTATTGTCACCAAAAAAACATTAGTTAAATCGTACTCGATGATTTTTCATAGTAGCAAAATCATCAATCAAAGATTAAAACACTTAAATATACGACAATCTCTTTTTCTATGTATACAACCAAAACATCTCTAAGAAAATCATCTTCCTTTTTATTCTCTAGTTGAACTTTGACGATATTCATTGCAGAAAAGACCCTCTTCTTGTTGAATATTAACTTTTTGTAAAAAAAAATTTGCCTTTGAAGTGGAACCCTCCTCTTGTTGATTATTAACTTTTTTTGTAAAAAAAAAATCTAGTGTTTTTGATTTCATGATTTAATCTATATCAATACAAAAACTACAATTCTCAAATTAAGTAGAATATAACCTAAAATTTGGTCCTAAAGGTTTATTCAATAAATTAAAAATTACCCAAAATTATTAAGTAAATAAACATATTAAGCAAGTAAACAATTAATCACCCCCTTCAAAAAAAGTAAACAACTAATCACTTTCTAAAAAAAAAGTAAACAATTAATCACAATCATGTAAATAGCACAAAGAAATTTAATAATTGAATGACATAACATAATTTTAAAAAATTAATCAAAAAGAAGAATTTTAAAAAATACCTGACTTGGTTAAACCCAACCCACTAGATGGGATTCGAACCCAACCCACTTGGAAAAATAAAACATTACCCAACCAACAAGACAAGGTATATTTATTGTTATAATTGTGTCTTGAATATTATACAGTATATACTAATTATAAGGGGGGCCATAAACTACTTCCTCCGTTTTTTTATTATTGCACCATAAGAGTTTGGTGCAAATATTTTGGTAGTGGAAAAAAGTAAGAGAGAGAAAGGTAAAAATACAAAATTGTCCATCTGACATATTGATAAACTAAAAAGTAAGTGTGAAAAAGCAAGGGTATGTTGGGTATTTGTAGTGTGAACACAAATAATTTTTTTCCTAAAGAGAAAATGGTGCAATATTTGTGAAACTTCCTAAAAAGGCAAGTGGTGCAATAATAAAAGAACGGAGGAAGTATAATATATGGGCAGCAAATCTGGGCCGGGGAGGCCGGGCCTCCACCAGCCCCCCCTTTCCCTTCGCCCTTGCGGGTGGAACACCAAAAAGTTCATATCTTTTTTATATTATGGTATAGTTAGTGCCTGCAGAATGCATCGTCTTTAGTATTGTCAATCCCAAATTATTCCTGTTCAAAGTTCTCTCTCAAATTTATTGTATACTCCATATTAGTTTGTCAATCTCAATGTATTCTTCTGCCTTTTGATAGAATCTACTTCCGTCAAGTTTGTGCAAATCAATGTATGTTTCCTTTCTTGCGGGATGCTTTCGCTCCGTGCGCTTTGGGTTAGATGAAGCCCATGGGTAAGCAAATTACTGCGTTGTTTTCAATTCCACTTTTCTTCTATATTCTTAGTTTATGTTGGCATTGTTTTCAGTAAGGGACAAGCGTTGCAGTTTAATTGGTTATTTGAGAAAGAAGCATTTATTCTGCATCCTGATGGGAGGTTTAGCGTTGATTTTGACAAGGTTTGATGCTCAAATTATATATGCTTAGCGTTAGTCATTCGTTGAATAAATCTGATATTTTATTTGGTTTTTTGTCTTTGTTTTTATTTTAAGGTTGAAGATGCTGTTGAGAGCTTGTGTAGACAGATATTAACCATACAAGCTACTGGTGACAAAATTGCTGCCAGTTCACTTCTTGAGAAGTACTGCAAAATAACCAATCCATTGCGACTTGCATTAGACAAGTTAGAAAGTGCAGAGGTATGAACTTTCAAAACTTAGTGTAAGGGCAAATGGGGACTCATATCCTATCAGTGGATAGGCTGATCACTGATTCTTAAGAACCATCACTTTTTGTTCTAGCAAACATCTTTTGTTGCAGTGTCTCTGATAGACCAGGATTTTGTTTTCGTTTTCTAAGTCTGATGTTGGTTGTCCATTCAAAAATACCATCGGCATCAATAATATATAAATGGAGTTTATTCAAATGTTTTAAATAGTGGATACCAGTGTTTTTGTAAGATTGGAAAGTATTAACTTGTTAGAGCTGCTACTCTGTATTTTAAAAATAGTTGTCCACAGATCTCTTAACCTCTTAACCCACTTTTGAAGATATCTTGTTTTCTTTGCCCTCCTTTAAGCTTCTATTACTAACCTTTCTACCCTCCTTTTATTACTAACACTTGATCTTGGATGCGTTACAGGTACCAGTTGACATAACTCCAACATTTACCACTGCAAACCAATTATTGCATGGAAGGCCCTGAAACCTGCTAGAAATTTGTTGAATATATGCTCCAATACTTGAAGTCTCATGCTTTACAATTGTGGTAAACTGTTGCTGCTACATTTTCTCTCTGGTACCAGATTACTGCAACGCTTGAAGTCTTGATATGCCTCACAATTGTGGTAAAATGTTGCTGCTTCGTTTTCCCTCCAATACCAGATTATACAGAGATTGTTTTTATTCTATGATCTCAAGCTTGGATATTGGTTTTGGTTTGGTTGCTTTGCCTGCATATTTATCCCTAAGCTAACAATAATGCTATGGCTTTATCCCTAGTCATTTGATAAGGACCTTAAATTATCCTATGACAGTGTTGATGTAAAAAAATAATTATCCAATAGAAGTTGCAATAAAAAGTTGGCTTGCTTTGTTTTACAAGTTACATGGTCAGTTTAATGTGTAAATTTCAAGATTTAAGAAACTCTTCCTTTATGATCGATAAGACGATAAGGTGAAAAACTACAATCCCAATTCAAAGGACAAAAATGATTTAGTATTCATAATTTCGAGAGTACAATGATAACCAGCGCAATACAATACATTTAAATATAAGAAGCAACAATTGAACTAAGAGATTTGTAGAGCTGCACTCGAGATTAGTATAGTCGCACTCGATGGCTACTTGTTCAAAGAGACGGCTTTACTGAATATTAGCGTCAACAACTGTACCATTCAAAGAGACAATGCGATGTCATATACATGCCAGGAAATACCATTGTAACATGCACTACATTTGGAGTAAGTTAAACAACAAAATTTGTTTTGAATTAATTTATACTTTGTTTGTTTTTACAGAAAATATTTGAGCTTACCTTTTTCAATCTAACCTTTCTTGTCAATCGACCACTAGCCAAGTAGTCTATGTCAAAATAATATAACCAAAATTGTAGGATGAAGTTAACATTCAATCACCAAACTGTAAGATGCTTAGCAAGCAAATTGAGATATTATTGATGATCATACTAATCAGGTTACTGATTCTGTTATGACAGAATGTGAGGCTGCACAAGTAAAGGAAGCTCGAGGAAAGCTGAAGCAATAAATGAGTTGAAGACTAAGCCTGCTGCTAAGCTTAGTTTCTAGAAGTTTCTAGTTTCTTCTAGATTTTGGTGTAATAGAATTCCGTTATTAGATTTCTTATGTCAGAATAGTTTGTTACAAGATATTTTCAGGTATTTTGTATAAATACTTGTAATAGAATACAACTTGTAATACAGTTCATATTTTCTCAATGAATGAAATAGAAATCTGATTTTGCTCTCTATTTTTCATCATATTCAAAATCTCTTCATGGTATCAGAGCAGAGATCTTGAGATCCTGCTAAATTTTTCCGCAAATTTTCATTCAATCATACTTGAATACTAAGAACATTACCGTTTCATTAATTTTTCCAGATTTCTGATCTTTCATCAGATTTTCATATTTCTTTCGATTAATTCGGTTACATTTTTGTTGATAATCTTGAGTTTTCTGAGTTCAATTTGCTAAGAAAATGGCTGGACAAGAAAATCATTCAAGTATTCAGAATCCAACTCAAGATCCTAGATCAGTTTACTACATTCATCCTTGAAAATCCAACTGTTTCACTTGTTTCAGAGAAGTTTAATGGAGAAAACTATCAAGATTGGAAGAGAGGAATGGTATTAGCTCTTTCTATGAAGAACAAGATGGCTTTCATTGATGGTAGCTTGCCAAAACCAGGTGAATCAGATCCTTTGTTTAATGCATGGAGTAGGTGCAACAACATGATTATTTCATATATTTTGATATCTCTGGATAATACTTTGGCGAAGAGTGTGATCTTCTTTTCTACTACATCTGAGATCTGGAAGGATCTTGAGGATAGATATTCTGTTGTTTCTGGGCCACAGATTTATTCACTGCAGCAAACTTTGAGTCAGTTAGAACAAGGTTCAGATTCAATTGCTGTATTTTTTACCAAGATTAAGGGAATTTGGGATCAAGTTAGTGCAACAAATCCTATTCCTACTTGTAATTGCACTAGATGCATCTGCAACTTAACTCAGAAATTTCTGAAGTTTCAACAAGATGAGAGGTTGATCTAGTTTCTTATGAAGCTTGACACTAAGCATGTTAGAGTGAGAACAAATATCTTGATGATGAATCCATTGCCTAATATGTCAATTGCTTATAATTTGTTGATTCAAGATGAGAGACAGAAGCAAATCACTGAAGCTCCTATTAAGCAGTCCAGTATGGCTTTTGCAGCAACAAAAGAAAGAAGAGGAGGTTACATCAGGTCTTCTGTTCGACCACCTTTGTTTTGTGATCATTGCAAGTTGAATAATCACACAGTTGATAAGTGCTGGAAGCTGCATGGTTATCCTGCTAAGCCAGGGTATAACAAGTATAAAGGGAAGAAAGTTGCTGCTGTAGCTTGTGGTGAAGAATCAGATGAAGAAAACTGCAACAATTATTTCACAAAATAACAGTATGAGAAGCTGGTGAGTCTGTTGCAGCAGGACAAACAAGAGAGTTCCAAGCAGTTCAGTGGAATGTCTAATATGGAAGGTAATGCTTAATTGCCTTAATTACTTGTCTAAATTCAAAATGGATTATTGATAGTGGAGCAACGGATCACATATGCTTAAATTTGAGTTTATTTGATTCATATGAAGTGTTTAACAAATATCCAAGTTCAATAACTGTTGCTAATGGAAAAAAGTTAGAGGTAAAGCATATAGGAACAGTTACATTTGAGAATGGAATTGTGCTTAAAGATGTTCTGCATGTTCCTGAGTTGCATTTTAATCTGATTTCTACACATAGAATCTGTAGAGACATGGATTGTGATATTATCTTTACACATGACAAGTGTTTAATCTAGGATCACTCCAAGAAAAATTCTCTGGTTCTTGGTAATCTGGATTCAGGGTTGTATGCAGTCTCAAAAGGAGAATTGAAGAAGGATGAGAGTAGTGTTTCTTCAATAAATCTGGCTATTGCAGTTGAGGCTAAGCTTTTGCATTTGAGATTAGGACACTTACCTTTTAGTAAGTTGAGTCATGTGGATTCAAAATTTTCTAATAAGGCTTGTACTGACAGAATTTGTCAAATTTGTCCAAAGGTTAGACAAGTTAGAAAATCTTTTCCTAAGGATAGTACTAAGAGTGTAAAGTGTTTATTTTACATGTAGACACTTGGGGTCCATATAAACTCCAAACACATGATAATTGTTCTTACTTCTTGACTGTTGTTGATGATATGTCAAGACATACCTGGACATTTCTTATGAAGAATAAATCTGATTGTGTTGATATTTTGGAGTTTTACTTATATTAAGACTCAGTTTGGTATTGTTGTGAAGAGTTTTAGAACTGATAATGCAAAAGAGTTGTGTGAAGGGAGAATGTTATCAGTTGAAGTTGAGTAGACACTCCTCAGCAAAATGGGGTAGTTGAGAGGAAACATAGACACTTATTAGAGACAGCTAGAGCTTTATTCTTTCAGTCTAAAGTTCCAGCAAAATATTAGGGTGAGTGTTTGCTTTCGGCAACTCACTTGATTAACAGGATGCCTTTGTCACTAGCTATGTCTCACCTTATGAAAAGGTTTATGGTTTTCCAGCTAACATTGACCATCTAAGGGTGTTTGGATGCCTGTGTTATGCTGCTACTTTGAAGAGTAACAAGACCAAGTTTGACCCTAGATCAGCACCCTGTGTATTGCTTGGTTATCCATATTAGTTGAATCTAGAAACAAACAAAATTTTTGTGTCTAGGGATGTCATCTTCCATGAGAGACATTTTCCTTTCCATATCACCTCTCCCACTCATAAACCAGATCCCATTTTTCTTCCAGCTGAAACTGCTTTCACTTTTGATATTAAGCTTGATATCCCAGAAATATTTGTCTTGTTCCCAGATCAGCATATCCCTTATCAAATAGAAACCCCTCAAAACATCCAAACACAACCTATACCTATCACCCAAACACATTCCCCAAATATTCCACCAGTTACAGCACCTAATCCACAAACACAAATCCATACACAGACCTAAACACAAATCCAGCCTGACAGACAGTCTTCTAGACCCTCAAAAAAGCCAGCATGATTGACTATGTTTGTACAGTTGAGTATGCTCCCTCTCATTGGTGCAATGTCATAACATATGATGAGTTCCCTATACCCCTGAAGGCTTATATTGCTCAAGTTTCTAGCATCACATAACCAGCTACCTAATTTGAGGCAGCACAACACCCAGAATGGGTTCAGGCAATGAATAGAGTTACAAGCTCTGTCTGCAAACAATACTTGGGTTGTTACAACTTTACCTAAAGGTAAAAAGGTTATAGGGTGCAAATGGGTTTTTAAAGTGAAGCTTAAAAAGGATGGAACACTAGAGAGATATAAAGCTAGGCTTGTGGCTAAAGGTTTTACACAAAAGTATGGTGTGGACTATGATGAGACTTTCTCACCAATTGTGAAGATGGCTACCATAAGGTGTTTGCTAGCTGTTGCTACTGGAAACCAATGGCCATTGTTTCAGTTAGACATAAACAATGCCTTTTTACATGGTTCACTTGATGAAGAAGTTTATATGAAGATGCCACAAGGGATTCCAAATCCAGAGAATAAGGTGTGCAAACTTGTGAAATATCTGTATGGGTTAAAGCAAGCAAGTAGACAGTGGTTTGCTAGGTTAACTTCAGAACTGCAAAAGAAGGGGTTTATTCAGAACAAGAATGATTATTCATTGTTCATTATTAAGGGGGGAGGTGATATATGCATTGATGTTGTTTTTGTTGATGACATAATCTTAACTGGGTCAAATAAAGATGTTTTGATTGATTTAAAGTCTCATTTACATGACACTTTCAGTATAAAAGATTTGGGAGAACTGAGCTACTTCTTGGGAATTGAGGTTTCAAGATTGTCTACTGGCATCATTCTGAGTCAGAGAAAATTCACTAAAGAGTTGCTGGAGATTTGTGAAATGGATGTTTCAAGATCAGTAAAGACTCCTCTTCCTATTAGTGTGAAACTTTCAGCAACTGAAGGAGATTTGTACCAGGATCCAGAACACTATAGAAGTCTAGTTGGTAAACTGAATTTTCTCACAGACACTAGGCCTGATATATCTTTTGCAGTCTAGACTCTCAGCCAGTTTATGCAATGTCCAAGGTTGGCACATGTTAAGGCTTTGCAGCATCTTTTGAGGTATGTGGCTGGAACAATTGGTCAAGGCTTCTTTTTACAAGCTGCTAAACAAGTCACTCTTCAAGCTTGTTCAGACTCAGATTGGGGAGCTTGTGTAGTCAGTAGAAGGTCTATTACTGGTTATCTGATGATGCTTGGAAACAGTCTCATTTCACGAAAATCTAAGAAACAATCAACGGTTTCTAAATCCTCAACTGAAGCTGAGTACAGGGCAATGGCTGCTGCAGCCTCAAAGATTGTTTGGCTTGTGAGACTGTTGATTGATCTGGGAGTTACTAATCTCACACCAGTCAAGTTAAACTGTGATAATTAGTCAGAAATTCATTTGGCTAAGAATCCTGTTATGCATGAAAGGACAAAGCATATTGAAATTGATTGCCATTTTACCAGAGACAAGGTGTTGGAAGGATTGATCGAATTGTCTTATGTTCCTTCTAATGGTCAGTTAGCTGACATTTTGACAAAGATTCTTCCTGCTGCTCAACTGTCCAAGCTATTGTCCAAGCTAGGCATGTCTCATTCACCCACACCTAGCTTGAGGGTGGGGGGGGGGTATTGATGATCATACTGATCAGGTTACCGATTCTGTTATGACAGAATGTGAGGCTGCACAAGTAAAGGAAGCTCAAGGAAAGCTGAAGCAATAAATGAGCTGAAGACTAAGCCTGCTGCTAAGCTTAGTTTCTAGAAGTTTCTTCTAGATTTTGGTGTAATAGAATTCTGTTATTAGATTTCTTCTGTCAGAATAGTTTGTTACAAGATATTTTCAAGTATTTTGTATAAATACTTGTAATAGAATACAACTTGTAATACAGTTCATATTTTCTCTCAATGAATGAAATAGAAATCTGATTTTGCTCTCTATTTTTCATTATATTCAAAATCTCTTCAGATATGCAAAACTGGTAGGGAATGAAAATTGCTCATACTATGTAATACTCTCTTCGTTTCCTTTTGTTCTTTATATTTAGAATTATGTGCAGTTATTTAGGAAAGTTAATAAAGCAAATACATTTAATCATTTTTGTCAACATAATTCATTGAGAGATGGTAAAGGAAACCAATACTACCAAAAAATAATGAAAAAAAAGTTGAAGTTGAGACAAGAGAGAGAAAGTAATAATGAACATTGAAATAGTACCCATCCAATATAAATTTAGAAAAAGTACGCTATCTTATGTAAAATTGAGGGCAACATGAGATAATAAAAAATAAAGCAAGGGTAAAGTAGTCTAAATTTTACGTCTTAAAATAGAAAAATCTTAAATATAAAGAATAGAGTTAAGGTAACATTTGGTGACCAAATTTTCACCAATTTCACCTTTTGGTAATCAAGTTTTTTTGCTTGCAATTTGGTGATTGAGTCAACTTTTCAGGCAACTTAACTCACCTGAATTTTATTTAACTCACCTTTATCCACACTAAAACTTAATCACCCTCAACATAAACTTAATCACCTGTCTAAATAACTTTGAAATTATTTGTCAAATCTTTTTTTTTTTCCAAAACTAGTCGCTTGGAATTAATTAACAAAAACAAGTTTTTTAATTTCCTAACCGAAACAAAAGTTAAAAAAAAAACAACTCATATAAACACACTACATCACCAGCTACATATACCCCTTAATTACCCACACCAATTCACAACAGCCCATCCACCCAAATGCAACCAACATCTCACCGCCACTAACCAACTTTGCTCACCATAGCAGCCCAATACCGCCATCTCAAGCGTCCCTAAATCACCAATTCGTACAACTGCAGCCACCAGCAGCTCCTGCGGCGACCTGCACCTTTCCAAACACATGCAAACACCAGTAACGACCAACGATCAAAGTAGCAACACCATAAGTCACCCACAAGTAATACGTGAACCCCCAATTCG